AAAAAAAAAAAACAGGAATACATCCTGTCGTAAGCTGACATTTTGCTCTTATTGAAAGTTTTGGATATTTTCAAAGTGCTGGTTGTGCCAGTTTTTTTTTTAAATTTCCCTATTACAGTCAAAGAATTGAACAAACTACTTATTTAAAGCAATACCTGCATTTTAACTGAATAAGAAGTCAACATTGAACATGCATACAGAGCAGAACGCATCTAATCTCAGCTTCCACAAAGCACACTTTATTAAAACCACGAACAGAGAAGACATAGAGAGCTAGAAAGCTCTGGTCAAGTATTTCTGGCAAAAGTACTTTTGGCTCCACTCCACCTCAGAGCTATTCCTAGGACAGGCAAGCCCTTGCACTTAGCATACCCCAAGCTGGCAGAGTTCTAGGAAACATGACACGCAAGCAGTCTGTGCCCTGCACTTATCATGGACACCAATCAAAAACAAGGAAATGTGGAACATATGCAGCAATTTGGGAAAGAAGAAATAATCAAGAAGTACAGGGGTGAGCATTTTCAGTGAATACATACTTACAGGGAACAGAACGTGTCAGTGATGATGTGAAGAGGGACAGAGGTGTGTTTTTTTTTCCTCACAAGGTGATCATTTCAGTCCAGGGAAGGAAGGATTCATTCAACACTCATCCTCGGTGTTCAGGAGAGACACAAACTGCCAGGTGTTTGAGGGAGAGACCCCAATGCAAACACAAATCAGTCTGATGTAATAAGGCCTAACACAAGATGTTTTTTTTTTTTTTTAATAAACTGCTCTACAGTCTGGAAAACGTAGGAGACTTGAAGTTCAAAGCTAATAAGACAGCGTCAATTAGCGAGGATGGAAGGCTCTGGAATCAACACTCAGATCTCCACTGGTTTTAAAGCTGACGGGGAGGGAGGGCACGGAGGTATACAAAAGAAACAGAAGCCGACACACAACCACCTGATTGGTACGTTGGTGCTGCAGCCAGTGCGCTTGCCTCAAATTGCAGCGAAAGCCCCTCCTGTTCTGATAGATTGTTCAGGATGGCATTGAGTTCAAAACATGACTTCAGCTACTCGTGATCGACTCAATTAACTCTCCTGCTGTAGTATGGCTTGCTTATTCTTTTTATTTTGTTAAAACCTGCCTTTTCTTTGCTGTCAGTAAACACACACCCTTCTTCTACTTTATTCCACGTATTCTAGAAATGCGTCAGTGACTCTCTGTATGCCAATTGATCACCTACTTTGTGTTTGGCATGTGCAGCACTCTCAAACATGTTGTCACATGCTGTAAAACCAGGTATGGCAATGTGTTTAGAAATTAGGAATGAATGATTGCGTCTACCAGGATCTTCAACATGTTACAGGCTCAACCTGCTTAAGTGCTGAAAGACCTTTAGGGACGTTTGCTGTGGAAAACAGGTGCCAGACATCTCTGTTCGGTCTCTTCTCTCTTGAACAAAACAACATTGAATGTGCTGTTCTGTGGTTTGCTTCAAAGCGCTGATTAAAACGCAACAAGTAAAAAAAAAAAACAATGCACTTGTGTGGATATTTCATAGTAAATACTGAGCTATAATAACCAAACCGACACATCCAGATACAGTTTCACTTCAAAAGATTGTTTAATGGACTTTTAAAGCGGAGTCATGGGTTGTTTGCCACCAACCCATGACTCCACCACGCAGGATCGGTGACGATCACCAGCTAAATGTTGACTGCTGGGAGGTAAATCAAGCTCAGCAGTGATGACAAGTCTGGACAAATCTTGTCCTTTTAAGATTGTGCCACAGCCATTTTTCTATTCTCTTATGTTTAAGCAGTGTATACAAATTATGAGCTCACCCTACAGTAATTTTGGATATGTTTGTTGATAGAAATGTGACTGCATAAACTGTAAGAACTGTGATTACTTGTGTTTGTCACTGATTGGAAATGTCCTTTTTTGGGGGGAGAAGGATTGGATTAGAGAGGGAAATAAATGTGATTAATAGTCAAGACTTCTGTCTTAAGCCCAATCAGGTTGTGGAAATGTTGTTTTTATCCTCTGTAATTAAGAAACTTCCCAGCAGGCTCTATTTAAGTTGTTTTTCTACGTAAAATTGTCTGGCATCTTCGATAATAATAGCAATATTTATACTAATTTCTATCTTCAAAGATAAGCTATAAAAACGTAGAGAATGTTGCTGAAACTTCTCTGACATTGACAAAGATCATCATCAGCATATTCTGCTTTGACTGTCTGGTTTAATGTAAAGACAGTCAGTTTACTTGGAGAAAAATTTGATTTCTTGGCACATCCTAGTGCAAAAAAATGCCACATATCTATTAAGAGTAATTGACTATCTGCGAAACAACCTGTGCAAGCAAAGCCACTCTGAACACTAAGTTGGTTGTGTAAAAGAAAAAAAAAAAAAAACACTAGAATTTAACTATTATGGAGCTAAAACAGCCTCAGTATTCACAAATGCACAGAATAATATTTACAAACGCACAGAACAAATGTCCAGCCTGGACTATTATTGTGAGTCCAGGCGTCCTTATGGAACATAAAATGTGGCCCCAAACAATAAGATTCAACTCAGTAAGATAAAACTAAACTAAACTACACCCTAAGCATGTTTCCCTGTGCAGTCATTTTCATACGGTATGCGCTCATTGGTGGGTTCTACTGACATAGTCGGTTCTAGCAGGTTTTTCTACTTGTGTAATGTAGCATATGTCAAGTGTATAAAAACAGAAACTTTCTCTTACAACTGCCAAGGCAGACGAGCTCTGGCACAACCAAGGCATTTTAACACATCATGTGAATAAAAAGTCACACTTTTCAGAAAACACAAAGTGATTATTTTACTTCTCCTACAAGATTGAACATCACAAATATGAAAAGTATGAATCTTGTTCTGTGCATTTGTGAACATTGACACTATTTTTTACCTTCATAATCAAAACTCCTTTGTTCTGACTGTCTGATTTTGTTTTAGTTTACATTTAGATTGTTTTCTGCGGTATTTTCAGTGTTCAGTCACAGAAAAAACAAAAATGTCATGCGATCAGTAAAATTCGCATCAAAACATTTCTGATTCTTCTTTTTTCAAGGACGACAATTTGGCACAGCCTTTGTAGAAAGATAACTGATGACGATGTAATGGCCTACACCAATGTGGCAACAAATATCTAATTTTTCTTCAGTGTGGGACGTGATCCTTCTAGGGATGCCAGCGCTCTTCTGTGGGGTGCAACATAAGAAAAATAAAAATAAAAGTAACTGTGAACATTTACACAACTTCATCAAGCCTTTACAAGAGACAAAGTCGATTGATTTTTAGCACTTATGGTGAGCAAGGCGACAGAGTCTAGGCTGAGAAAAATAAAAGAGAAGGAAGAATGACCTTTGAAGTTGGGATTTTCATGAGCTGGATCTGGAGATGCTCCGCTGCCACCGTGTTGTGGGGACATGTTTTGTACAGGTTAGATGAACAGTGGTGCAGTTCTTACTTTTAGCTGTGTAAATAACAAGGCAACGGAAACATCGTCTCATGACGTGGTACACATAGAGCAGACCTGACCAAAACATCACTGATGGATGTATGAAGGGAATATCATGTACTTTAGTATCCACTGTGTACTAATCAATTGCAAGTGTTCATACACTTGGTTGCAAGTTGTCTTGTTTGACAGCAACAGTTGCTTTTGTTTCATGCTTTAAATACATTTGGCTGATTAGTGTTTTTTGCAAGCATAATGTGCCTCTTTGACCATGAGCGCTGCTGCAATTTAAAGCTTAAGACTGTGCATTAGCTGTTCTTAAAATGTGGAGTTGTCTGCTGCATGGAAGCCATCAGGAAAAAAATGTAAGAGACGAAGGCACAGAAACACACCGTTTATCTCCCTCTTACCTTCGACATCTCAGAACTTCTTGTGAGGTTTGCAGTTGAAAGTAAATTATTATTTCGCCAACGATAAAGAGCAGAGCTAGCGCAGGCACCACGACAACACCAATTACCTCTTTGAATGAGAAATGTCTCGCAAACAAACCGAAAGCAAGCTCTAATAGTTTCATTCAACAATGTTTGCTGCTCACACGACTAACTAAATGCAGCACAGATTTCTACAGACCGGTCGATTGTTCAGGAACACGATCCCTAATTTTGGACTGCAGCAGCGTGATCCAACGCTGTGTTTTGTCAACTTTTATGTTTATTGATTTAGGTTGTGTTTAATGAATGTTTAAAAGACCTTCTCTAAGCCTAAGATGAAGTCGGTGATTCATGCACATGAATACTTTGCTTTATTCTTCCCTTAAATTAAATGAAGATATTCAAAGCCCTTCAGTATATATGAAATATTACAAATATTAGGCCAGAAGGGTAGATGACGCAAAATGTCAGCCTCACTTCTGTCAGACTGACTGAGGGCAGCTGTGACTACAATCCAGTAGCTCGCCATCATCAGGGTGTGAATGTGTCCATTGAGATCTCAATTTGGCATAAAGGGCATTATAAATAATGCCCTTTATGCCATTATTATTATTATTATTATTATTATTATTATTATTATTATTATTATTATTATTATTCAATATTTTGCCATTAGTTTATACTGGCTTTATTAATTTGTGCATCTAGAGACTGGAATATTTGTCCATTCTTCTTTGTAAAAGAGCTCCAGGTCAGATTGAATGGAGAGTATCTCTGAACATCAATTTTTTTACTTTTGCCACCTTCGGATTTTCATCTGGGCTTTAACTGGGCCATTTTACCAAATGAGTATGCTTTGATCTAAACCAAAGCATACTCATGCAGTCGGAGCCACACCCACTGTAGCTCCGATTGTTTAGGGTTGTTGCCCCACTGGAAGATGTTCATCTGGCCCAGTTTCAAGTCTTTTGCATGTTAGCATCCTCGTATCGTTATGCTACGATACGAGCATAACAATACTCTCACCAGATCCCTCATAAATTTTTTTTTTTTTTTGGGGTGAGTTGATTTTCTTGCAGATCTCTCTGTAGTATTAGAGGAAGTTGGAGTAAATGAATTCACAACTCTAAAACCATAAAATTGACATGACAAATAATTAGCACGTCTGATTGTAGCTAATGAAGCAGGCAGAGATCCTTGTTTCTTAGTGTAACCGTCCAAGATATTTGTTGTTATACCGATCTCTGCAGCACATGGATTTGAAAACAAAAAAACTAATGATTAAAAAAGTATGTTTTTCAGTTGGTATAGATACATGAAGGATATTCTTTTGTCTGCAGCAGCATCTTAGCAGTGAAGAAGACGTTGCCAGCTGGCTTCCTTTGCCACGCCACAGGAGAGGACTCCCTCTGTGTTTTTTTTCCGTGACGTCTCCTTCGCTGCGCTGGCACACGACGTATGCAGTCCTGTTCTTCTGCAACACAACGGTAATTTTGTCCATAGACGACTGACTTTCTCGTAAAACCAAAAAGTTGCATACACTTAAGGAGGTGAGATGGTTCGTGTGTCGGCATGTCTGTCTGGAAGCAACAGTTGGTAAGAAAAACAAAACTCTTTGTTTTCCTTTGGGGCCACATAAACTGGCAGGTTGTGGCTTGTATGTTGGCAGATATTTCTTAACAGGACCTTTATTTTCTTTTCTGTAGACATTGAACTTGGCAATATGTTCCTCCTCACTGCTGCTGCAGGGGAGGATATTTGGTCAGCATTCTCCATGGGATCATCCATGTCAGAAGTTCTCTTCCTCTGAATTATCTCCAATATCAACTGTAGTGCCTTTGACAGAAGAAAAAGACTCTGGAAATTATATTTAAAAAATATAATGAAAATTGAAAACAAAAAAAATCTAACAAATAAGCAATGTCAATGCATAGAGCATGGGATTTATATAAATCTGTTGCTGCTGTTACACCACAATGTTCCATCCAACAGAGTTTTCTACTCCAGCACATTAGAACATCATCAAATCATAAAACAAAATATCTGCAGTCATCATCTGTGTTCACTTCATTTCTCTTCAAAGGAAATGTTTGGTTAACTAACCACGAATTAGTCTGGGATGTTGCAAAACAGCTACCATTTTCCTTTTAGGAGTTTCAAAATAACTGCACAGAAATGAAAAAGGTCTGCTTACCAACTTCGATGAACAATAAGCTCCTTATTGTGCTGTAGCTGAATAGGACAGTCTGCATTAGGGCTGTAAGTGCTCTACTGTCAGCACAGTAGACTGTTTTTCTGGTGCGGTCCTAAACAAAGTCACAGTACTTGTGGTTTACACCTGAAGGTAGTGTCATAAAATGTTAAGCTTGATGCTATTGGCACATATATGAAGAAAGTCACATATGCATTCAACATTATCCTTGTTGAGAATCACTTGAGCTATAGTTTTTTATGATCAAGAAAGGTATTTATTTTTTTTAAAGTTACTTTTGTCTATCATGAAAATGATCTGTCTTACTCCTAAAGGGTTTCATTCAAATTCTATCAAATCCCTAGAGGAAACTCCTTCACCCATCTTAACTCCAGTTGTGCTTTCTTGAACTTTTCTTGGAACAGCATTGACCTGGATGCCAAGGATTCTTGAGTTACATCTTCTGCCTTGATGTAACATCAGTATGGCCTGCAGTCGTGTCTGTGGCTTGTACTAACCTTTATTTAAGGTGTACAGCAGCTGTCTTCAATGGGATTAAATATGACATGTCTCGATCGAGGACGGCCATAAACTATTTCTATGTCCAAATCCTCTGACGTTTTCTTGATGCCGCTGAGAGAAATCAGCAGAAATACTGATTCTGAAATTTACGACTTCCTCCTATCATGTAGCTTAATGATAGTTATGATATAATTCAACGTAGCAGCCTTTTTAGACCCCTAGCAACAGCCAGTCCCATTGGCATATGGCGACAGCAGAGAAAGGTCAGCTCATAAATTCATCCAATCTTTGGAGCTTGAGTGAAATACTCAAGTTATTAGGATATTGGTGAAATTATGAAGACAAATGTCTAAAGGTTTAATACATTGAGACTTTGAACATGATCAACAGCCCACTGACATGGCCGTCTTGTGGTGCTGCTCTGCCTTTTCAAGGTTTGTGTTTTGCACTGTGGGGCAAATTTAGCACACTGGCATTTTGGTATGATCTGTTAAGGACTTAATTAAAATATAACTCCTTGAAAGCTTTCACACCAGATACAACACAAATATTTAAAAAAACGTAGATTACTGGACTCTGGAATAAATAAGGACTTCCTTCTTAAGCAGAAGAACATCTTTATTTAAGAAATGTACATGCAAGAAAGTGCAAAAATCCCAAAAAATAAAAATACAAATAATACATGTGAAAAATCATACAGATATTAAAACAAACTGTTTTTTTTTTCTTTAAGGTATTTGGCCCACATCTCGTTAATGATACAGGTACTTTACAGCGCAGATATTTGTGTCTCATACTCAGAATTTCACAGTTTGGTAGCTGTTGTTTTCACTTACTACCCGACTGCAATGCTAATATACCTGAATAATGCTAGCTGACTAGCCAATTAGGGGTAAGGTTGTTTAAGCAAACCGTCTTTACTCAATTCATTTGTGCTTTCAAGCTCAGGTTTCCATGCAGCATCATATAAGCTTCTTGTTCTGCACTTTTCTGGACAGGATGGTTCCAGGAATCCCTCCTGGAACCATGAAAGGTCAAAGTGTTCCAGTACTTTCCCAGTGGTACCATTACTTAGAACTGCTACCATCATGACAGCTGTGTTTTGAAGTTTCCAGCTAACTTGACGTTCAGCTGGCGAGTTATCGCCAGTTTAAAAGCTCTGTTAACACCTACTGTCAGTATCCAAGCTGAACTAAAGCTACTACTTCAAAAAAGGTGTTAAAATTGTCTCTGCATTATTAAACAAAATGGCAACATAAAAAAAACACCCTGTTGATATAAAATACACACATAGTATGTATGTTTGATACGTATTTGCTGTGCTTATTGCTGTGTCACTGTCTTTATGTACATAAAGTCTAGTAAACTTTGATTTGGATCTTTTTCATTTAGAAAACCTTAAGCTCATTAGGCATAACTGGCATTTCCTCAAAGAGTCATAATAATTCCCTTAATCTCTTTTAATTTGTTCAAATAAAATGAGTTTTCTTTTCATTGTATATTTAGTTAGCATAAACAACCCCTTCCGCATTCATTACGACTCCTGGGGAAGACGCGTAAAAACCTTAAAAGGAAGTCTTTCATTGCAAGACCTTAGTTTGAGCACCTATTTAACAGAGTGAGAAGTTACATGTAAAGAAATCAATGCTGCTACAATTATTGACACTACTAACAACTCCTATAAATTAAATGTAAAAGTAGTATTTCCACTTTACTAGTTTAAATTGATTGGAGTTGTGTACAAGTGTATTTGCCTCTTATGGATTTCTTCTGTTTTTTTTTTTTTTTTAAGTTTTTTTTTGCCAAACATAAATGTTTACAAATATCAAATATCAAACAAAATGAAACATTGGGCTAAGTTATCCTGAGTAAAACAAACAAACAAAAAAAACTTTTTCATTGAGCACATCGAATATTGTTGCAGCCGCTGATTCAACATGGTTAAAATATTATCTAAAAGAAAAAACACAAAGGCTAATCTCACATTTCACATGATCCTTGCGACCAGAAAAATATGGTCAGCTATGTTACATCTTGTGTAAAACTAACAGCATTTTGTAAAGTGAACATCATAACAGTCAAACACGGTGGTGGTAGTGTGATGGTCTGAGGCAGCTTTGGTTCTTTGGGATCTGGATAACTCGCTTCAATTGTTGGGACAATAAATTCGTTTCTCAAGCAGAAGATTCTGAAGACTTTCAGTTTGTGGCATTAAGCCCAAGCGCACTTGGTTACACAGAAGGCCAACAATGCAAACATTAAATCCACCAAATCCGCGTCTGAATTAGTCAAACCACCCAGAGTAACTGTTTTGGAGTGGCATAGTTAAAGCCTGGACATAAATCGTCTTCAACATGATGTGCCATGCAGGCTGTCATGCTCAGAAAATGTCCAATGTGGCTAAACTGAAACAAATGGACAGAGAACGGTGGGTCAGATTCCTCCACTGAGATGTAATGGACTCCAGTTATCACGCTCAAGGACGGCACAAATAGTTATTAGGTTTAAACCAAGCTGTTTCTCACAAAGAGCTTGGTTTCAATAGCTTTTCTCACTCACAAATGAAATCATATGAGAGTTGCTTTTTGCATTCTCTCGGAATATCTTAGTCTCATATGAAAAACTACATAATTATCCAAAATGTTTAAGAATGGCAGAAAAGCAGAAACAGAAGATTTCTGAGGATCACAGCATCATAAAGACAAGGTGTTCCGGACTTAGAGAGCAAAATGTTCTCTAAACATTTTGCTCTCTAAAATGTTTAGAGAGCAAACATTTTAAATGAATGCTATTGCAAAATAAATTGGAAAGTAGCTAAAATAGAGAGCCTTACTGTAATCTTTTTCAGTTTCAGTTCACAATAGGTGAAAACTATGAACATAACTTCACATACACAACGAACAACATTTACATTTCAGTTTGCGACAATGGCTGCAAAGCCACTCCATGGCTGTTCTCATCACTTTCGTCATCATTTCCTGCTCCGTCTTTCAGATTTTGCGCAACACCGTCCTCTGGTGGTTCAGTGACTACACGTCTAACTTTGAAAACGTCCCATTTTTCAGGCAGCAAGCCGTGGTTGAACATGACCACGGCCAACCAAGAAAAAATCAATATGGTTACCAAGGTGCACAGCATGGACACTGTCCTAACAGGAGACTTCTGGACATAGATGCCATTTTCAAGAGTGCAACCTGGAAGGTGAAGGACAACAGGAATGCCCAAAGTGTTTTCTCCCAACAAAATCCTCACAGTCACCCCCACAATGTAACCCACGGTGGCGCCATAACCATTGGTCACTCTGAAGAAAAGGACAGAAACCAAATGGGGGAACAAGAGGGTATAGGAAACGTCTGCTCCAAGAATCCAGAGGACCAGGGTGCTGTTGGTGTAAAACGTTATCGATGTTCCAACAAGACCCACAACTACCACTGACGCCCGAATCACCCACTGCATTTCGTTGTCTGAGGCCTGGGAACAAAAAGCCATAAAAGAGAAGATGCTTGGTTATTTATATAAACACCCACCCTGTCTGTTTGGGATTGGTTCATTTGTGTGGTTTGGTTTCAAGGCTGCCGGGGTTGAACCTTCAATCTTCTTACCTGTGTACGGAAGATGTTTTTGTAGATGTTTGCGGAGAAAACCGAAGTTGCAGATAACAGACCCGAGTCTGTGGAAGACATGACGGCGGCGGCCACGGCTCCAATTCCAATGATGGATATGTAGGAAGGAGTGAGGTACTGCAGCGTGAGAGGCAGGACGAAAGTGTGCTCCCCGCGGAGGTAAGGAGGCGGAGAGCCGTACTGAGTCAAGTTCCAGTCTGGACGAGAGAAATTCACAACATAAACGTTATGCTTTATTTTATAATGAATGCTTTTTTTTTTTTTTACATTTTGTTGTGCTTTTTTGCACAATGACAATAAAGGAATTCTGATCCTGATTTATTTTACTCATGCAGAAATGTTCCAGCCCAGGTCCAAGTTCTGAATCTTGAAGTACTCTATGGACTAAGGTTCATCGTAATGTTCTAGTAAACCCTGAAATTCCTGAATTTGATTGATATGAACAGATTCTGAGCTACAAATGTTAAAAAAAAAGTCTTCTGCCTCCAGCTCTCACATTATTGTTGTGTTATTACAGCCACAAATTCATGATTTTAAGTGACAGACATAAACAAAAAGTGGTGCAAAAATTATAAAGCGGTAAAAGAAGCAACCATGGATTTTCTATTTTTGTGGATGATAAGTTGAGTCTTCCACAAATCTTCAACTTCTTTTAACGTGATCCCCAAATATGATCAACCCAGTACTTTCAGAAGCCACCAAATTTGGAAGTAAAGTAAACCTCTGAGTATTTTAACCTGAGTATCTGCAGCTGTTCTGTGGTTTGTTGGAAAATGTCAGTGAACAAACAGCGACCAAGCACAGCAGATAGGTTAGTGGTGAAGTTGTGAAAGAAGTTGTTCTGATCAGATGAGATCAGACGTACCACAGAACCTTAACACCGTCCCCATGACGAAACGTGGTGGTAGTTACGTCATGCCGTGGAGATGCTTTTCATCAGAGAAGCTGGTTGGGTTTGGTTAAAAGAAAAACTGTGCAAAAGTTAAGCCCAAAATCATTCAGACCCCTGGCAGATTTAGATTTAAAGTAGCTTTTCATTTTACCAACATGTTTCTTCTGACATCGAACCAGACTGATGTTCCAAAGTCCCGACTTTATTCTGATAGAGGGAGATGAAGATTAGGGTGATGACTAGGGGACCTTGCAACATCAAGAACTTAGAACTCAGCAACAAAGATAAATGATCAAAATACCATTGGAAACTTGCAAAAAAAAAAAAAGCTGATCACCAGTTTTTAGAAGCGTTTGAGTGATGCTATGGCAATAAAGCTTTTCCACTGATCTTTGAGGAGGAGGTATAAATCATTTTTAACATGCCACTTTCTGTGTTTTCTTCCTACAGAAAAGTAATGAGCTTGTTCTTGGTTATGAATGTTTTCTCTTGTCCTACTGGTTACTTGTTTTTTTGTCTTTAAAAACCTGTTTGAAATGTACTAAATTGGCCTAGTCAAAGCACAGACTTCAATCCAACTGAGAATCTGTGGCAAAATAAACTCAAATTACCTTGTTCTATAAAGCATATGAAGTATTAACTTGGAAGGGCATACACCGCATTTTTCAGAATTTTGGTTGTCCAAAAAAATTAAAACCATCTAAAGTTTTCCTCCCATTTCACAATCAGGTATTACTTTGTCTTTATCTGTCACAAAAGATGCCTAATTAAATAATAAAATTTGAGGTTGTGACATGACAAAATGTGAAATTACCAAACTCTATCAATATTTTTTTGCAGGCAATGTGGATAGGATGATTGCCACACCAAACGAGAAACTGACCTTTAGCAGCAGTGGAATAACACAAATGCTGCATGTCTTATCTTCCTGCTACTTATTTGAATATTACCTGCACTCTTCTCTATCTGGGGTGGCATGTGTAAACCTCATATGGAGACTATTCACAAACATTTACTTATTTTAGGTCGTGTTTGTAAAACATATTTGGGTTATTTCAAACCTGCATCATACGACTTTTACTCAGAATCGTCATAAGTTACCCTATCAGGAAGACTATGTTACTGAGTAGCTCATGGTTGCATCTTGCCGAAGTGTGGCATTTCTACAAAGTGTGGTTTAAAAATTATGCAAATAGCTGCCAGAGAAAGGAGATACGACTCAGAGGTATCATTCGTTGTGAAAGGCTGACCAGGAGGTATGGGCAGCATTTACTAGTTAAAGCGCACTTTGCCTTTAGCGTAGTTCTTACCTGTGGAGGCAGCCACAGCCCCCACCAGAGCAGGAGGGATTCCTAGAATGGCAATCAGGAATGCTGCTGCAAAGCAGGTTAGCTGGGCTGTGCGTGATGAAGATGCCGACAGCGTTCTCTGGTGGAAGCTTTGGAATGAAAGACTACCAAGTCCCTGAAAACAAGTGGCAAAGAAAGTCAATTCTACACACAAAAAAAGCAAGGGCAGCAAAAATTGAAGAGGAGAATTCACATGCAAAAATACTGATTCAGCTCAGAACAGTGCCGTATTGTAAAGAACCCAATAAGTTGCCAAAGATTTATTTTATTTTTTTTTAAAAAGGAGTCATGCTGAAAAGCAATTGGACAATAGAGCTACAGACTAAACCCACCCCAAATTCAGCGGTTCAAAATAAACTTCAGCCCTCTATGGTTGGCAGATTATCAGTGTAACCTAAAAACTCCATCTGAGTCCAGTTCTGTCTGCCCAGATCTGCTTCTACGGCCCGATTTGTTTAAACAGGCCTCGTGTAGCAAACTACGTCTCCCAGCTCACTGAGTGAAGTCTGACTGGATCAGCACTGTTACTTCCACTGTGTGTCTTTTTATACAAATCTGATCAAAACAAACAGCATTACTGCATTGTTACTCCTATCCTATCATTCTAATTACCTCTGGCGGCAACAACTCAGACTCTGCAGTCACGCTTATCCTTTTGATCACACAGTCAATGTATTTAACCAGGTTTTCCCATTTACAGGCGTTCTACAGTCATATTTATGATCAGCTGTCCTACAACTGTAGGACGTGTGAAGTGTGACATGCTCAAGTAACAATAAAATTAGATTCATTCAACAGATGCCGACCTGAATGGATCTGATCAATGTAGCACTTTTCTCTCTTGCTTTCGATGAAGGTGGACACTTTTTTTTCCTCTGCACCCTCCGTGCCCTCGCCTGCCCTGCTTGCTCTGTTTTTGTCCTGACTTTTTCTATA